AAGGGGAAATGGATCAGCATCGATGCTGGGGACAAGAGAGAGGTTGGCCTGCAGCTAGCACCTGGCAAAGGCAAGCTTTTCATGAGAGGGGCATAGCATGTGAGCCCCCAGACCTTTAAGGGAACACGTTTGGTCTGGAAGAGCCATGTGGGTTACACTTCTACCCCAGATTGGACTGAAACTTACGGTAAGCCCAGCTCCTTTGCTTCAGTCAGGGTTACTTCAGCCTCGTCCCTACTATCATGGTTCCTTATCCCTACTCCATTCAAGAGCTTATCACACACCAGGGACTTCGGGCAAACTCCTTAGCTAGATTTCCTGACATTGGGACCTAAGTTTGAGTCATCCTTCTATCTCAAACAAACCTCAAGACAAAAAGATTTTCATGTAGGCCACTCATTCACTCCTCCCTGCCCCATGAGGACAAATAACCAGGAGCTTCCTATCAGAAAAGCTGTGAGGGGCTGGAAGAAAAGAGCACTGAAAAAGGAGTCAACCCTGGCCTGTAGCTCAGTTGGGTAGGGTGTCATCCCAATACGCCAAGGTTGTGTGTTCGATCTCAGGTCAGGACACGTAGAAGAATCAACCAATGGATGCATAAGTATAGGGAAGAACAAATCTCTCTCTCAAAAGCAATAAGTAAAAATAAAGAATCGGAAGGTAAGTTCACACCTCTGGCTCTTTATTCCTCAGTGAGTGATTCTGTTTCCTCATCCACTCTTTTAAAATGGGACAGTAACCCCAGCCCCTGGGTAGGTAACAGAAGCCAAAAATGAGGAATAACAGACAGGACAGTGTTTTGCAAATGTCTTGGCCAAGCCCCTCATTCCCACCTGTGGGGAGGCATCACCTTATTAAATGTCATTTGGCCTCTGTTCAGCCTCAGCGAATGGGTGTTACAGTGGGATTCCTTTCCAGACTTGGAGTTTCTTCATTTAGCAAAAAGAGCTGACAGAAAAGCTGTGTGGCCCAGGCCAGAGGCCTCCTCTCCTCTCCTCTCCTCTCTTCTCTGGAAAGTTTTCCTCTCCTGGGCACAGGAGGGTTGGATGGCAGAGCCTGCCCTGGGCTGTGCTCTGTGGCACACTCCACTCTCGACCCTTCCTGAGGAATGCAGCCTCAGCCTGTGCCGAGGGCTCCTGCTGTGGGAGTCCATTGCCCTTCTCTCTTCCCCCATTTGCAATCACTATTTATTTATCTTTGGAAGTTGAAGGAACCAGAGCCTGCAACTGGGAGAGACTTGTGGAGCCAGAGAGGGAAAGTGAAGAAGCCAGTGTCTGGGCCCCGTGTCTGCCGCGGAGGCCCACGGGTAAGGAAGACAAGCTGCTCCCCTGCAAAGGGAGGTGGGAGACCCGCTGAAAGACCACCGTCCTGGGAAAGGTGCCACACACACAACAGCAGGGCCAGGAACAGAGAAGGAAGGTGGGGGTCACCGTAGCGACCACTTGGGTGGCACAATGAAGGATGGAGAGCAGGAGTCCTGCCCAGGGACACCCCCCCAACCTGGGCTGCCTGCTCCTCAGCAGCAAGGCTCTGTTAAGTGGCAGAAAAGTCAGCCTTTGTGGGGAAACTGAGGAAGCAGACGCACTGGGCCACACTTCTCTTTCCCTCTGTCCCCAGCCCCGTTCCCAGCTTGCATTCCAGTCCATCAAAGACCCACAGGCAATTTCCATCCCCACCCCCAGCTGTCAAGGTCAGACTCTGCCCAAAGCCTTCAGACCTTCCTGTCTCTGGAAAGGGGGTGCCCCTCTCACTCACTCATTCTCATGCCACACGTACATTCATAAACTAGGGGGCTTGCAGGGCCCCATTTGACATCAGAGATTAGAGAGCCTAGGACGTTAGGGGCTATGTGCAAAGTCACAGAGCTGCCTAGAATGGGGCTCTTCTAATAGTCTTCCCACACCCCAGCAATCCCTGCTTTTCCTCTTCTCGGACTCCCTCATTCCCATTGCCCTACCTCCCCACCCCCCTCCCCACACACACACAAGCACATGCTGGTAAGAGGCAAGATCTAGCCCTTCTGCCTTGGCCTTTGCCCCCTCCTTGGCCAAGCGACATGCACGCCCCGCTGGGCAAGGTCACAGCAGCGGAGGAGGGTCTGGGCCTCCTTAGGCTCCGGCTGTGTCCTGCAGGGGCTGGGGTAGGGCTGTGAGAGTGAGAGCCCGTTTCCAGGCTGACCCATCGGGTCAGGGGCCAAGGGAAGCCGAGTATCATACCCCAGAGAGATGAACCAAGTTCAACCCAAAACATGGAGCACCAGACACCTCTGCTCCAGCCGGCAGGTCCAGGAAAGCCCCAGAAGCATGGGGTGCAGGCTGGATGAGCAGGAGGGAGGGAGGGTTTGGGGGAAAGTGATGCTGGTGGGCTTGAAGATCTGAGATGGGTTGTGGAGAGGGGCGGGAGAGAGAAGGAGTCTAGGTTCTGGGCGGGTGCAGGGGACATGCGGGGCCTGAAGCCGGCTGGCCCGCTCTCGCGCCCAGGAGGGCACCGGCCTGGCTGC